CTACAGGTGTTGAGCCACATTTTAGGTTTTCTTAACCAGAACTGTGAAGCTTAAATTTCCTAATAAGTATGTTGATGCTTTGGCTCTAATTATTCCTGTTTAACATTTTACATGAACAATTCTGGACCTGAAAGCGATTGTGATATTGTTACTATGAAATGCATCGTGATAATATTTCTTTCGATGAACTGCTTAACTAATGCCCACCTGTAAAAACTGAAGTACTTTGAGACCTGACAGGTAGTACCAGGCAGTACTTTAATAGTGTTAAGACTTCCTGTGTGTTATGTTTTGTTTGTCACTTAAATGGAATACTGAAATATAAGAGGAAGTATTTAGTAAAGTGAATTTTGGGGGAGTAAGGTTAAGACTTATTTTCAAATATGTGAATTTTGTATTCTTACTCATACTTGAGCTTTTCTTGGAAAAACAGACTTCTCTTGAAAATGGGGAAGCTAATAAGCATTCTTGAAAATTAGGGATATTGGACATTATTAGAACTAACACTCATGTATTCACATTGAATACTTTTTATAGCAGTCTCAACTGAAAGTAATTATAGAACCATTGGCAGTAGGTGGAGTATGTGTTTATGGTTGAAATATGAAGGAAGGTATAAGAACATAGACATGCAAAGGCTTGATGTTTGCCCATGAGTCGAGTTGTACTTACACAATTGAGTAGCCACACATTTGATCAGTAGACATCACTAGTGTCCTCACCTCTCCATTACTCTTTCTTCTTGCCTTCTTTCTGAACCTCTCTTCTCTTGCCCTTTTTCCCCTTATTGCTCCTTCTGCCAAAAAAAAAAATCTCTACCTTGTCTTGCCTACCATACTGATGTTGGTGTGGTGGTTTTGTTTTGGTTTTTTGCTTAGAGTATTTCCTGCCCCAACCTCTGTTAGTTGCAACTCTTCCTAACTCTTCAACAATTTAATTCTTTGCTCAGTGATAAAAAGCTGTCTAGACTTGTCTTGGGAAATAAAATTATAGTTCGATTTAAATATTTTTCGAATTCAAGTTCTTTGCAATCCCAGAAAAAATTTTAAAATGTGCATTTTTTTCCTGATTGCAAAAGTGGCATATATTCTTCATAAAAATTGGGAAGAGTCCCCAAAGTATAAAGGTGAAAGTAGAAATCAGCTGTGTTTCCACTAGTCCCTGGTAGCTTTCTAGTTTTTTTCCTTCTAGTATCTTTTCTAGTCCTATGCATGTTTAATGACTCATTGAAAATACTTTTATTTTAAAAGTATGCCAAGTGCTGTCTCATGTCTATTAATCCTAGCACTTTGTGGGGCTGAAGCCAGAGGAACGTTTGAGGCAAGGCATTTGAGACCAGCCCGAGCAACATAGCAGGACCCTCTTGCTATTAAAAATAACACAAATAAGCCAGACATGATGGTGGACGTGCAGTCCCACTTACTTGGGAGGCTGACTAGGAGGGTCATTTGACCCTTAGAGTTTGAGGTTGCAGTGAGCTGTGATGAGCCACATACTCTAAGCCTGGGCAACAGAGTGAGACCCTGTTACCATTAAAAAAAAGCATAGTTGTAAACATAAAATTTAATCAGCAGTATTATAAGAGATAGATAGGAAAAGTTTTTCTTTTAATTATCTCCAAAAGCGCATAGAGGCTGCATTGTATTCCGCAGAATGGGCATGAGATAATTTGTCCCATCCATCTAGAGTTGGTGATGTTAGGTACTTGCCAGCTGTTTTTATTTTACAGGAACAATGCAGCTTGAACTTTATTGTATGCATACTTTTGCTTACTTTGAAAAGGATGAGGTACTTTTCCTCTGAAAGTATACCACTTGATAATCTCCTCAGCAGTTTAACTAATAACTTTGTTAGTCTTGAGAAACAAAGTTATTGACTTGTAAATTATGAAGATTCTTTTGATACTGTACCAAAACTTGATATGTGATAGTTTCTTAAATGTTAGCCACAGTATGGAGTTAGAAGTCATATCAGAAAACTTTTCTCATTGTACTTGGAATAGATTATTTGCCCATGTGTGATTTTTGTAACTGCCTGCATTGTTTTTTTGGAAAATACTGTTTTGCCGAGTTATGCATGTATTTCAAATATTGATACATCTCATTATCCCAAATTAAATCATAATAGTTACATCACCACAATATCATCATGGAAAATTGTTTTTTTTTTTTTTAAGTTAAAGTCATCATGGCAGATAGAAATTTTACAAAATTTAACTTATTGCTTGAAATCTTGAACTTAATTATTAGGAGTAAATAGTTGTCAGTTTTGTTGAAGTGATAGTGTCTGTTCATTCATTCTTGAGAAAGCTTTTTCTTTCTTTTTCTTACTTCATTGCCTTGTTGAATAGAAGAGGCAAAAGTGGACATCCTTTTTTAACTCCTGATCATAAATGGAAAGACAAAAAGCATTTAGTCTTTTATCATTAACTCTGATGTTAGCTGGTAGCTTTTTTTTAATCTTTGGCTTTTCATAGATGCCATTCATCAAATTTAGGAACCTCTATTCCAAACTTGTTCCGAGTTCATTTCAGATGCTTTCTTTGCATCTATTGAGATGATCTTATGGTTTTCTACATGTATTCTGTTATTATGATTAATTACACTGGTGGATTTTTGCATGTTAATACATCCTTACAGTGGCTTGCTCCCTTTTGTATTCATAATGCCCAACCCCGTCCTGTAAGGATGTAGTAGGCGTTCAGTAAGTATTTGCTGATTTGGTGAATGAATTGAGACTACAAAACTCCTTAAGTGGTTTTCCAATTTTAGAACTTTTGAAAACATTTGGAAAACACTCCAGTCATTTAATAAACCAAAACATATTGTTATCTTGCTTAGAGATCATTTCTCAGTAACTTTATTCCCAACTTTAACTAGGGGAGAATGTAGACGGTATCTCAGAAGGGAGTAGAGCATCCCTTTGATAGTCTTTTCAGTGAAGATCTTCAAAACCTGTTTATTTTTATGTTCTGTTTATAGTTCTAATAAGCCTTGATGGTCTGGTTTCCTTGCACCCTACGTCAGAAGTAACAAGGTATAGAGTAGAAATAATTTATTGGAGGTTATTAAGTTGAGAACATATAAATTTAACAACTTTCAGTGGCTCATAGGGAAAAAAAAGCATGGTAGAAAGAATTTTGAAAGCTTAGTAGTTAAAAGCTGTTGATATATCTTAATTACAGCTGCAGGCTCTTAATGTATATAGCATAGTAAAAGCAGGATTTCAGAGTAGGAATAAACTTAATGAACCTCTCATTATCTGTTTCTGAAGCTTTTCTCTGCTTTTACACATGTGAGGGGTAGATATGATATATACGTGATAAGAGTGCCTATGATATAAATTCGCACACCAAGATAATGATTCCTGGTGGCAAGGGAGATAGAACAGGCATGTGTGATGAGTGTGTGTGTCTGTGTGATGAGTGTGTGTGTCTGTGTGATGAGTGTGTGTGTCTGTGTGATGAGTGTGTGTGTCTGTGTAATGAGTGTGTCTGTGTGTGCGCGTGTGCATTTGTGTGTTTGCAGGGAGTATTGAAGTTTATATGTGAGACTATATCAACATTTTTGTTTCTAGAGTGGTGACCAAATTATGTGATTTGAACTTGGATCCATTCCCATGCACCAGCTATCTTCCCTTCCCACCTCCAGATATTGTGCTGCCTCAGTCATATTCACCGTTGGGAAACAATGGTTTTACCCAAACTACTAGTGTAGATAACCAAACTGAAGCCCATTGGAGAGGCTGAATGTCAAGCTAGCCACACAGCTGGTGAATACTAGATAATGTTAGAGTAAGAACCTAGTTGTCCTTGTTTCTAGTTTAGTGTTTTCTGTTTCTGCAAAAATTTATATTCAAAGTGATAGGGTAAATGAGAAGAATGATACATGTTTCCAAAATAATTATTCATTAGAAAGCATGGGAAGATTCTTTATTATATTTTCGTTTTTTCTTCCTTTTAAAATTACTGAAAAAAATTACTTGGAAGTAAACCTCGGACATTTCTGGTCGAAGAAGTTCATTTTTTCATGACCAGTAAATAGATGCAGTGTTAAGTGTTGAGCCTAACAGGGTCTTTAAAGGAAAAATGAGGAGGGTTTACCCTTGACTACAGGGATCATTAACAATGGTGGCATAATGAATTATTGCCAGCTTTGCGGCTTGTAATGAGAGTCTGTATAATCTCACAATTTCCCAGGTCAGGAGTCCAGGCCTGGCTTAACTGAGTTCACTGTTGAGGGTCTCCTCATGCTGAAATCAAGGTGTAAGGTTGGACTACAATCTCATATGAGGCCCAGCAACCTCTTCCAAGCTCAGAGGTTCTTGACAAATTTAGTTCCCCAGAGCCATAGGACTGGGGTCTTCAGTTTGTTTTGCTTACGGCCAACAGGAGAGCCGCTGTGCTGTTCCAGGATCTCTGACTTACAGACTTCCTTTAAAGGACTCACCTAAATAGGTCAGGCTCACCAGGATACTCTTCTTTATGATTAACTTATATCAGCAGATTGGAGCTTTGATTTTATCATCTCCGCCATATAACTTAGCCTAGCTGAATGTGTGAAACCCCAGAAATCTTGCCCACATTGAAGAGGAGGGGATTATACCGGGTGTATTACACAAGAAGATGGGACTTGCGGGTGATCTCGTAGTATGCCTACCACGGGGTTATCAGAGACAGCAGTGACTCCTTGTTCCATAAGATGGAATCCTCCCGTGCTAGGCATTTCTACAGGCCATGGAAATACAAGGCTAACCTGCCTAGTTCTTGTCTGTAGTGAGGCGGAGGAGAGCAGCAATGAAGTGCACTGTTCATAAAAGAGTCTGCTGAGCAGCAATAGAGGCGTCCAGCCTGCAGAGGAGGTAGAGGCAAGGAAACTTTGAGTGTGCGGCTGGTGTTCTTGAAACTGTAAAATTGAAAAAAAAGGATTCATGGATTTTCTGTGAATAAAACCTTAGTTTTTAAGATGATGAAATTATTAAATGACTATTTTTCCCCCCAGATGGCATACCTCAAGTTTACTATTTTGGCCCTTGTGGTAAATACAATGCTATGGTGCTGGAACTGCTGGGACCCAGCTTGGAAGACTTGTTTGACTTGTGTGACAGGACGTTTTCTCTGAAAACAGTTCTCATGATAGCTATACAACTGGTAAGTAAAGCAGCGGGTATGGAGTTGTTGGAATGATTGCATAGTCTGTTGGTCATAAATTGATGTTAAAAGTCTAAAATTTGGGGGTATTATCTTACAGTACATTTGACCCAGTATAAATGTTTGTACTTTTCATATTATCTTTGTAGGATGCTAATAACTGAGTCACGTTTATTTTATTTGTATCAAAATTTGGGTCTTAACTGCTTTAAGATGAGAATGGTTAGTTTGAGAGTTAAGTGTTTCTGGTACCTTTTTTCATGTAGAAGATGAATTATTCAAAAGAAAACTCTTTTAGTCTCAGTAATAAACTTTATGACCTAGAAAAAGAAGAAACAAACAAATGAAAGAGGCTTAATATTACTTAAACTTTAGGGGACCCATGGGATAACAATTTAGAGGATGATGTTAAGGTACTTTAGAAATAAATGTCAATAGAAATATGCTGCAGAAATCTTAAAATTGCTTTTATCCTTTCACTCATTAATTCCACACCTACAGATTTATCCTGCGAAACTATTCAGATGAATTTAATGCTGTATGTGCAAGGATGTTTATAAGAAAAGTAAGAACCATCCCAAATGTGCAGAAGTAACAGAGTTAGTTGAATAAATTATTGATAGCCATAAATATTTTATGATGTGGAAAATGCTCATAGTATACCATTAAATAAAAGTATGTCGTAGAATATATTATATGATCTGAAGTTGTTAAACAAATTAGAATGGCCTGTGGAACTGTAGGCTTACATTACACTGTTAGCCACGGTTAGCACTAAACGAAGCAGTTTTATTTTCTTGTTCGTAATGTTCTATTCTTTGGCAGTTTGTACAGTGAACATTACTCAGTATGTGAAGCAACAGTGTACTTTGTTATTATTAGAGTTGGATTCCTAACTGTTTTAATTTTAAGATCTTTTTCTTGAGTATTAATACCTAGGAAAAAAAAATCAAGAAAACAAATTATAAAGGAGAAAATGAAAGAAATGCTGAACGGTGCTGTTAATTGTTTTTATTTAACAGTTTAGACTCTTAGGCTTCTGTAATATAATTATGAAAGTTGCTTGATTATCCAACTGATAAGGAAGAATAAATTGCAGCTTTATATGTCTGCTTATACGTACTTTTGCGTTCAAAGCTTTTTGATTCTATGTGGTAGCGTCCTCTGAAAGTACTGATTGAATCAGGCCTACTGGATATGAAAGGAATTTATAAATTTAAACACTTTCATTTCTTAGTGACTGTAACAATAAAGGCCAAGATTTTTAATGAAAATTGGACATGTGTGTTTATATATACATATATATATAAAACTATATATTATATGTGTGTGTATATATAATACATATAAGGAACTGTAAATTGACACGTTATTTTTAAAGCAATGAAAACAGTTTCTGATTTTTTTTTTTATGTTGTTTTTATTGTGAAAGTTCTGTCTTCCGTTTATGATGCTTTCTTGGCCTAGTCAAAGCCCAAAATAAAATTTCTCTTCTCTGTTTTTTCTAAACCGAGATTTCTCGCATGGAATATGTTCATTCAAAGAACTTGATATACAGAGATGTAAAACCTGAGAACTTCTTAATAGGACGACCGGGAAACAAAACCCAGCAAGTCATTCATATTATAGATTTTGGTTTGGCAAAGGAATATATTGATCCAGAGACAAAGAAACACATCCCATACAGAGAACACAAGAGCCTTACAGGAACAGCTCGATACATGAGCATAAACACACATTTAGGAAAAGGTATGTGTACCTTTCGTAAGTGTGGAAGCTTGAATTCAGCAGCTGTGCTAACATTGTGAGTCATCATTTGTTAATGCAGTTCTGTTCTTGCAGATTACAATGGATTGTACTGTGATTTTTATTTTATCACATCTGCGTAGAGTTTGCTTTCATTTATATTATAATAAAATTCTCTTTAAGTTACTGTAAATGAATGATAGCTATTCTTACATTTGCTTTATCCTTTTTAGATATATATGGTAACTTGAAATGTTCAACTTTGATACAGTTAGGGGCATCATTTTAACTGAGTTTTAATGCATGTGAAAAATTTTAATTAAGGCTATAACTCTTTAATATGGCTTGCCATGGAAGTAGCAACCTGCCTAACAAGTATAATGCTAAAAGCATATACTTCAGAGGTAGGGACAGCTGGCTTCTAATACTGGCCTACCTGTATACTAGCTGTATGATCTTGGGCAAGTTGTTCAACCTTTTTAAGAAGGTTTCTCTTTGTAAAAAGAATAAAATAATATCAACCTTGGAGGGCTTTTTGTTTGTTTGTTTGTTTTTAACTTGGTTCAGGATCTAACCCAGGATCACATATTAATTTATTAGTTTTACCTCTTTAGTTTTTTTCGTCTGGAACAGGTAGTTCCTCAGCCTTTCTTGATGGCTCATGAGCTAAATAATTTTGAAGGGCACAGCTATTTTGTGGAATGTCTTCAGTTTGGGCCTGTTATTTCTTTTCTTTTTCTTTCTTTCTTTTTTTTTCCCAGTATTTGGCCAGGGCTGGGTTTGAACCCACCCTCTCTGGCATATGGGGCTGGCGCCCTACTCCTTTGAGCCACAGGCGCTGTCATGGTTCTGTTGTTTCTTTGTTGACTAGATTTGGCTGTGCTTTTTTAGTGCAAATATCACAGAAATGATGTGTTCTCAGTGCATCATGTCAGGTGCTACGTAATGTCATTTGGTTCTAAGCACCTTTTATTTCTAGCTTAGGGTGATGTCTGCTCAGTTTTTTCCTGAAAAGTTTCTTATTTTCCCTTTGTAATTAAAAAGTAATTCCCATGTATACATATATACTTACCAACAATGAGAAGTCTATCACTACTAATACTGTATTTACTAGAATTCTCAGGAAGTAATTTCAGAATTGCCAAGTAATACCACTTTGTGAAGCAAGCCTACTAGAATTATAATATTTGTAATTTTTATTTTATTGACGAGTTCTTTTTCTTAGTTTAAAGTAAAATTTACATTGAGTAGATTACACATTTGCGTGTATAATTTGTGAGTATGGGTGAGTGTACACACTGTGCAACCCACAGCACTGTCAAAGTGTAGAACATTGTCATCTGTCACATGTGATCACATCTTACATATTACCGTAGCTTTTTCATGTAGGCAGTGCCATAATATGGTATATACATCTTTCCCCTTAGGCAGTCCCTACCTTTGGTAGAAGCAGCCTCTGGTCTGGTTTCATTTACCATAGCTTAGCTTTGCTGATTCTGTTACTTGATATAAATGAGATCATCTGGCTTGTTCTACTTAATACAATATTGGTGAGATTCATCTATTGTGTTGCAAGTTTGTTCCTTTTTAATTCTGAGTAGTATTACATACCACAAATTGTTCTTTCTTTCATTCTAACATTGATGGACTTGTGAATAAAACTTTGATGGCATTCTTGTAAATCTTTTTGTGGGGTCATATAGTTGGTATTATTTACCTTTGTAAGAAACTGCCTATCTATTCTTTGAAGTGTTTATATCTTCTTTTATTTCTACCAGCAATGAATGAATGAGAGTTTTATTTGTTTCACGTTCTTGACAAAATTTAGTGTCATCTGTCTTTTTCATCTTAGCTATTCTAGTGGGTATGTAGTGATATTTTATTTCCCTGTGATTAATGTTTTTGGTGCATTAATCTGTTTCATTCATTTATTGGCATTTGTATATCTTCTTTTATGAAATGTTTATTATTTTATTGATAATTTGTAGGAGTTCTTTATATATTCTAGAATTTGTAGGAGTTCTTTACATATTCTGGATATAATTCTTTTGTCATATATATGTATTGTGTATATTTTCTTCCAGGTATCTTTTGCTGAGCAAAACTGCAATTAGCAGCAATTAACGTATTCAATTTATGAAGTCTAGCTTACTTTATATCTGTGATCATTGATTTCTTATATGTTGTGAGATAGGTGTTTAAAGTTCTTTTTATGGTATCATATTCCTCCCTTTGAATTACTTTTGTGTGTTTCTTAAAAAATTCAGTCCTAGATTGACTGAATTTGCCATGGTCAATGTGCTTATCACAGGAAGTACAAACTTCTGTTCTTGATGTCTCACTAGCTGGAGTTAAGACAGAAGTGGAAACCAGTTACTGTGTATCCATCATCACTGCTCAACAGTACCTTAAAATAGACAGTCACAGATCTGGACAGGACTTTAGAAGCCAGCTAGTCCCCTTCCAGCTCCTAATCTCAGCTTCTCAGACCATTCTCCCCAGGTTGACCCAGTAGGCACTGCAGCCCCTGCTCTGCTTCTCTCACTGAATAGCCCTTGGCATCCTTCTCCACAGCTGCCTGAGTAGCAGGCTCAGGATATTTTTTCCTTTTCAGATGCCTGAAATGCCTGACCAATGCCCTTTTTAAAAAAGTAAGCTTCAAGCATCTAAAATTATAAAACATAAATTTTATTCAGTTAATATTTTCTGGGAGTGCCTTTTAGTAGCAAACTTCCACGATAAATTTAAAAGATGATTTGGTAGATATACTACTCTCAGGATTGTGCCTTCTGTTAAGACCAGGCATATTTGTGTGGACACGCACGGTGTCTGTGAGAAATTTTTACTTCCTGGGAGTTGTTAACAGACTATTTTATAACGACTTACAAAGGTTCACCACTATTTTATTGTGAAACATGAAGTCACAACTTCCTTTAGGGCCTAATGTTCTTTATCTGAACAATGGTAGATGTAAAAAGCATTCTATTTGTAGAAATGGCAAAGTGACCCATATGTTTGTCTTTGTTGGGGAAAGTCTTCAGAGCTTGGGAAGTGACATTTAACTACTGCAGTAATCTCTTTTACTCCTCTTTCAGGAAGAACACAGAAAAGTATTTCTTTGGCAAGCACTGCAAACAGCAAAAGCATTAATGTTTCCTTTCTCTCGTTTATAAAAGCCCTGCTTCTCAGTTTTCATGTAAAACTCAGGAGTCGATGAGTAATATGAACAGAGAAAAAATTTGACAGTTTACATGAATTCTTATTTTTAAAAAAGGAAGCTAATGTGATATGAATTTGAGTGCTGAAGAATTCAGGTTTTCTGGAGTTTGTGATGCCTGCGAACAGAGAATATTTAGTAGTGTTTTAAGTTGAAGAGTGCTTGACTTTGTGAGGAGTCAGGAAGAGATAAAGAGGGACAGAAAACGTTACCTTTCAAGGTGATTTTAATTTGTGCGTATCTAATTTCCACTCGCTATGGTTTTCTGGATTTTGGTGATTGCTTTTAAAGCCTTACTGGTTCTCCCATCATTTCTTCATTCACTGTTGTGCTTGCAAGGACTTCTTGCTTGCTATAAACTTTTCAAAGTAGAGACTTTGGTCAGAGGAGTATCGTATGGGTTTATAAAGTGTTTTCCCTTTTGGAAACTAACACTGTGTCAGAGTTAAAGAGGTAAAAGATATTTCTAATATAATAGTAAGGAAGAACAGTGTAAAATCACACTGTAGGAATTTGCATCTCTATTGTGCTGTCTGTTGATCTTAACTAGGCAATTTGTGTGCAGAAAGCAGTGTAGTATGCAATGATTCCCTTTTATACCTTTCTCATCTCTGATTAAGCCACTGTCAGGATAAAATCTTGGTAAAGTTGTGCGTGACAGGTAGGGATTTCCCTGGTCTATTGAATGAAAGCTTTCATATACTTATGTTGAATTATTATTTTTGTGTCTGATCCAATCAAGTGTCTGCTTCTTAATATCTTTTTAAAGACTTGTCAGCAGCTTTGAACTTCATTTTATAATCTTCCTTTGGATCACTTTTTCCTCCCGTTTATGTCTTCTCTTACTGGAGTCATTTAAGATTCAGTAAATGCTCTATGTTTTTCTTTGGTGAGTAGTCTGGAAATAAAAATCAAGGCTTTTATTTTTAAATTATTATTTATTATTCAAGAACAGACTAGGATTTGAGGCATAAATTGGGAGTTCCTTTGTAAGTGTTAGTAAAATCTGTGTTCTGTAGAAGAATGATACTTCAAGCTTCTAAGTGGTAGATAAGCTCTGTGAATTAGGGGAGAAGGAATCAGAGAATTCTGGTCTTCCAAAAATGCCTACTTCCTGTGCTGTCATTCTGTGACGGGATACATATTATTCAATTTCTAGCTTAATTGTCCAAATTCCGGAGGCATGCCCTTTTAAGCTACCCAAACAACTTTTTTTTTTTTGAGATAGAGTCTCACTATGTTACCTGTGGTAGAGTGCAGTGGAGTCACAGTTCACAGCAACCTCCAACTCTTGGGCTCAAGCGATTCTCAAGTAGCTGGGACTACAGGAACCTGCCACAATGCCCACCTATTTTTTGTTGCAGTTGTCATTATTGTTTAGCTGGCCTGGGCCAGGATGAAACCCCACAGCCTTAGTGAGTGTGGCTGGTGCCGTAACCACTGTGCTACGGGCATCAAACTCTGAAAGAACTTTTTAAAATTAAAAACATGTCTTTACATTTTTTTACAATTATATTTTAATAGTCTAAAATGTGTCACATACTTCCTTTTTTTTTTTTAAAGAAAATATATTAAACACAATTGATTTTTTCTTGTTAATTCATGGTAAATATTTTTTGTCTAATTACTATTATGTAGTGGTATTCTCATGATTAGTTAGTGTCAGGATGTACAGCTTTATGTACATATGTTTAGAGAAGATGTTACCTGTATTTTTAGCAGTTTATGTTTTTCTGTGGTTCCTTTGGCCTTAAGCCGTGTTGCCTCTCACTTTTAGGTACTGTGT